GAAGCCATTTCCTCAATATAAAGATAACGAACAGTATTTCCAATGATGGTATCCAGAAAACTAATGTAATATTTTAACTCCATGCTTGTTTTGCATCCTCTGCAGAGAAAAAAAACCCGAAATACACTTTGTGATATGTGACATCGTATTAGAACTTATGCAAACATAACAGTTTCCTTTAAGAGTTACTGTTACTAGAAAATTCTTTTTTAACTTCCTTCACTGGAAATCTGCAATAGGGCTCTTAGAGTTGAGTTCTAAAAGTCCAACAAGCATAATGTGGTCAGCCAGATTTTCACAATGTAGATTTATTAGCCACACTTGTAAGGCAAAGAAGGGCAATGTTTCAATGCTGGGGACTGCAGAGAAGGAAAGGAGGCAGTAGTGAGGGGAATTATGTAGTGAGTGGGGTTGTGCAACCCATAGCACAACTTTTTTTCTCTCTGGTTTAACAAATATGATTTAAGCACATAAGGTTTACAGTTTAGTTTGTAGATATGGCATTTCAGAGTGGGAGCAATATCTGCCAACTTTTCAGTACTTGCTTTCAATGGAAAATCCTGGGTAGCACAGTGAATCTGAAATCTGTGTGCAACTTCGACTATACTTGAAGATTTACTAAGTATAGTACTTTAAATGGATTCTGTGAAGCCCTGGTGTTTGGTATCCTGTGCATACTGGACCCATTTCATGTTTGGGGGAGTGAAAAATTTGAAAAAGTGTAGACCACTATTGATGAACAATTTCTCCCAATTTTTTCCACATCTTCAATTTTTATCACATTTGATTTATCACTATACTAGCTCTGACACACAAAAATCTTGTAGGGTCTTTTTTATTGCTTCTGAAGTTCAGCAACAAACTACCTCAGATATACCAGATTCCATTATATATACTACATTACATAGTATATATTATCATCCTGGAAGCATTCATTAAATCCTCACTAAAGTTCTTTAGATTTTCCAGCTTTCTTTATCTGTCTGCGTAACTTGATTATATGTAATATTCCCTTAAAAATACATTTTAGATTGAGCAGTCACTACAGCTAAAATGGACTCTAAAAAGGTACTGTAAAAAACAGAAAAAAATCAAAGGAAAACCCAATTTCCTTTTTACCCTCTTCTTTCCTGGGCATGACTTTGAGATATCTAAGATGCATTTCTATCCTTCTCACCTTGACTTTCTGATCCATGACATGTGATCGGAGTGCTATACAAAGGGAAATTGTTCTCAGCCATCCTATAACAGAAATGCAATACTGATGTTGTTACACTGCATTGTTCAAAACAAAGGAAACTCTTTTACCATCTCCAAGGTGGCTGTATTTCATGATTGGCAAAGAATTACGGGCTTGTAAACCAGAGTGGAAACAAAGCCAAGAAAAGACTTGAATGCAGATTGTGCCCATGAATAATAGTACATCTTTTTTGAACAATAGGGTATCCTTATGGATTTGGTTTTTTATCACAATCAAATGCTACCGGACAAAGATGTTGACATGCAACTTTGCTCAAATCATTCATGGCCACCTTCCTGTCAGCTTATTATTAGCATACTAGTTAAGGCATCAGGCTAGAAGACAGGAGACTATTGAGTCAAAGTCTTGCCTTTGCTATGAAAGCCAGCTGGATTAATTTGGGCCAGTCACTCTTTCTCTCTCAGCAAATCCACTTTACAGAGTTGCTGTTGTGGGGAAAATAAGAGGAGGAAGATGTGTTGGATATGTTTGGCACCTTGAGTTTTTTGTGAATAAAAGAATGAATGAATGAATGAATGAATGAATGAATGAATGAATGAATGAAT